GGAGCGGGGGAGGAGGGGGGGAAAGGGGCGGTCGGGGGAAGTGCGACGTGTCTGCGAGCCCTTTTATACCTCCTCGGAGCGCCCTGCGTCTCCGTCCGCCCGGAGCCGGCCGCGCAGCCTGCAGCATGTCGGGGGTCAAGAAGCAGAAGACGGTAGGCTGAGTCGCGGCCCCAGGAGCGCGGGGCCGGGGCGGGGCGGGCTCCGGGACGGGAACTCCCTCTCTTCGCTGGCGTCCTCCAGACCCGAGCCGCGGGGCGGGTGGAGGGCTGAGCGGACCGCGGGGCGCCGGGGGCTGATCCCCGCACCCGTCGGCCACGGGCACCGGGGTTTGACCGCGGAGCCCTCTTGGAGGATACTTCAGTGACAGCCTTTCAGAGAAGGAGCTGCCACTGACCAACGCGTGTCTAAACTGGTAGGGGTTAGCCCGGTACACCAGTCTGCTCCTCACTGGCATCGGGTGGCACCCCGAAATCAGTGCTGAGAGGAGGCGGCTGCTCAGTTTGCTGAAGTGAGACGAGGGGACTATTTCCGGCAGGTACGGTTTTCGTCGGAATGGATCCGAGCTGTCTTCTTTGAATGGAAAATAGGAGGGTGTACCAGAAAGTTCCTTTCCCTTTACAGCAACACTGGCTCTTACAAATTTTGCATCCTCAAAAATGGCAGCAGTTCTGCGGGTCAGTGACACGTCAGTGAAGGTGGGGAGAATGGCCGCGGTAACCACAGAGTCCAAGAGTTGGAAGGAGTCGCGCAGACAGCGTTTGGATCACCCCAGATGGTCCTCAAGTCTCGGTTAAAATTAATCCTACGAAGTAGTCTGGCTGTTGATCATTCAATTTAAACCATCACACGGCAAGCCTTAGATGATTGTGGTGGTTTCTAAAAGGGAAGTTCTCTTTCAGATAGACACTTGGCACATAGTAGGTGCTCGATAAATGTGTATATAATGTCCTTATATAAGGCTTATCACTGAAATATCTTTGAGGAGTACAACAGTGGGCTGGGAAGGTGTGAAAAACCAAGAAGGTAGGCAAGATTGTAGCGGGGCCCTGTGGGGGCTGAAGCTCCACTCCAGTGGCAGGGGAAGATCTTGGGACTCTGAACCCCGGGGGACCAAACTGGACCATCAGGAAGCTTTGGGAGGAAGGAGCATTGGTGCAGGATGGGACAACAGTCCAGATCTGGCCGCCTCTTACAGGGATGCTTTTAAAGTGGAGCATTTCTCAGTAATACGTTTTTAAAATATTAAGTGAGGATCACTTGTATTCCTATTTTATTATATTAGTTTTTGTGGAATCCTAAATGGTGTCTTCTAAATGACAAGCTTCCATAATGGTCATTTTCTATAGCAGTGGAGCTATATTCTCATCTCCCTGCCTGAATCAAGAATACTGGCCAGCATAGTGGCGCAAGCCTGTTATCCCAGCGGTGGAGAGGCTGAGGCAAGAGGGTTGCCTTAGGCCAACCTGAATTATATTTTGAGACTGTCTCAAAAAAAATAAAAGCAAGAAAGAAAAATTCCTTCTGGATCTGATGGGAGCTTTGTCAACCATAGTCAGGAAGGGATGAATGGGCTTTTCATGCTTTGAGTTAGCAGGAGCTTGTGGAAGTGCAGGGTTGAGGGCAGGGTTTTTACACATCCATTGTGGAGACTGCATAGTCATGAGTGAGGAATTTGAGGACTAGGATTTGGATTCTGTATGCACACATTTTAAACATTCTGGGGGAGGGGGTCTCTATAGGATTAAATGAACATTAGAAACAGTTGATTGAAACAAGACTTCAGAAATTTTATTTAGCCTAACACAGTAAGACCAGATAGGTACTATTGGTACTATTAACAATCCAGCTATAAATGCATACGGAACCTGTCAAGCTTTGAATGTTAAATAACATGTGTTTTGAAATTTTGCAGTCCAAAAGCCATCCATACGTGAGGCCTCTGAACTAATCAAATCATTTGAAAAGTGAGTCTTACTCATGTCAGAAGCCAGCCCAGGAATAGGGCTGGGTTGATCTTGCTAGGAACGTGCAGTATTGCATTGTTTTCCACATTATCAGTAGGGGAACATCAGCTCCCACAGCAGCCACTGTAGTGACTTCAAGTGTTTACTGAGCCCCTGCTTTGTGTCAGATGGTGGCAACCTGGATCCCTATTGTGATCACCTGGGCAGGAGACACAGACTGATAATCAATGCAGATGCACCAAAGTAATCCAAGACTGTGTCAGCAAGTGTTTGTTACCAACGAAACATCTCTCCAAGGCTTCTTGGTCTCCTTTCTAGATGAATATGGGCTTTCAGTTCAGACCACTATAGGAAGAGTAAATAGTTTGGGGTTAAATCAAAGAGTAACAGTGACTTTCTCCTAACTTGAAAACCTGAAATGTGCTTTTTACAAAGGCAGTACATTTCTTCTGTGCTAAATGTCCTCACCGCAAAAAACAAAAAAAAAAGCACTTAGCAGTCACATCGCTGCTTCCCAGCCTGAGTTACCTCCAACCCCATCCCCTAGACACCCAGAGGAGCAGGAGAGGCGTACTGCACCCAGAGACCTGGGGAGAAGGGAAGACAAGCTAAAATCCTGTTTATGGTAAGGATCTCGATGGTCACATCTACACTTTTCAGCGTTTCCTGGAGTCACATTTTTTAAGGCCTGTACAGATAATGTTGTGATGGCCTGAAAATAGCCAGCTGAAAAATTACATTATTCTCAAAGGTCAGACAAGTCTATGTTGGGAAGGAATGAAGGGGTTTTTTTTTGTTTTTGTTTTTTTCCGGTACCGGGAACCGAACTCACAACCTTGCACTTGCCAGGCAGGTGCTTTGCCGCTGAGCTAAATCCCCAGCCCCAGAATGAAGGGGTTTAAAAGCCCTTCCTGCATTTCCTTTATTATTGACATTCTGTACAATGCTACATTATTTTCACTGAAGTAGCTCCTTTTAAAATTATTTGAAGATACTGCCTAACGTAGACATGGATTTGTAGCTGAGAAACCCCTGGAAGAAGGGAAGCAAGCACTTCCTAGAGCCATGTACTCTGACACACTGGCTTCCATCTCATCCCCACAGAAGCCCCCATCTCAGAACACTGAGCCCTGGGCTGAGGATGTAGCTCCCTGATAGAACACTTGCCTAGCACGCATGAAGCCCTGTGTTCATCCCCAGCACTGCAAACAAATCAAAAAACGGAGCCTCATCTCTAGGGGAGGAGAAATGCCAGGGAGGGGGCACAATTTAAATTCAAGTCTGACCAACATCAAAGCTCCTGCTCCTCTGAACCTCTGTGCCAGGATGTAACCTCTCTGGCCTCTTGTTTCCTCCTCTGTAAAATGGAATAATAATGGTCTTCGTTATTGTTACACTATACTCTTGTGGTTTGGCATAGCTTAGAAGAAAGCACTGTTCTGAAGGCTCAGTAAATGACAACTGCCATGATATTTAATAAGGGAAAACAAATGCAGAAGTGTAGATGTGACAATTGAAATCCTTATTGTAAAAATCTGGGGAGAAGACAAAAGGGCTGATAATTAATACAGACACAACTAAGTAACATAAATATTGAGTTGGTAAATTTTTGCCGACAGCTTTGATTAAGAAAGGCGGTCTATGTATAAGTAAATATTGGTCTAACTTTTCTCCACCCTTCCTGTACCTTCAGCGGTTCCAGAACTACCTTGAAAATCAATGTTTCTCAATTCATGCTATGATCTCTAATAATAGGTAGGTCTGTTTGGACTTTAGTACAGTTAGAGATAAATGTAGTTACGTGGTGGTGCTGTTTAGCTGTAATCCCAACAATTTGTGAAGCTAACACAGGGGGATCACAAGTTTGAGCCCAGCCTGGACAATGCAGTAACTTACCAAGACCCTGTGCTAAAATGAAAAATTAAAAGGGGTTGGGGGTGTAGCTCAATACAAAGGCTGCTGGTTCAATCTCCCCCATCATACTCCCCCTGAAAAGATAAGTGTAGTTGGCATTGAACTTTATGTCTCCTTGAGAGAGCTATCTTTATCTTTCATCAGTTTTCTGTTAAAACACATGGCACTATGGCTTGCCAAGGGCATAATTAGTCTTAGCCCAACCAGGAAACCTTTAGAAAATGAGAATCTGAGAAGGAATCAATATAGACATTCCTCATTTAATGGCCCAGTCAGTAGCTCTTGCTACAAGGTCGTTAAATGAAGAATTGTATGTCATATGTACATTACACTATTCAGAACGAAGAAATGGTCAAAGGAAACTCCATTTGATGACTTTCCTTTTATTTGCATAACTCTTACATTCAGTACTGTAATGTATAACAGAACATAAAACTACAGTACTATACTGTACAGTACAATCAGCGAAAATTACAGTGTTGTATAAACAAGGTGTACTCTACAAAAAAAGACATTGAGGCCCTATAATAAGATGTACAGAGCTGTACAAAGAAGGAGATGGGTTGCAAGTCTGAGTAGTGGGTCCTAAGTCTGAACTGCGTGCCTCAGTTGTGAGTCTGACCTGTTGTTAAGCAGGTATGTTGTAAAACAAGGAATGTCTGTAATGTCAATCTCAGTCCTAAAAGATTCCTGATTATTTCAGAATCTATCACTAAATAGTAATGGGCACTCATTACTCATTGTGTTTGGAAGTCTTAGGAAAACTCAGAAGGTAAAGATAAATAAACATAAATGTGATGGTAGCTCAACTGGCTTTTTAGCCTCTGGGTGATCTTTTCACATCACAGCTGAAAGGGCGTCTTTCAGAAAAGTGGCACAAATTACGTACTTGATAAATATTTGTTGATTAAATGAATGAATGACTCCAGAATTCATTAGAGCATGAATTTATTCTTAGGGTATATATTTTTATGAGCTTCTCCTCTCTCCCCTCTTATCTGTCTGTTCGTGCATGCTTTGTTATTTTTGATTAGGTATTTGTCATTTTTGATGAAAAGTTACTTTCAAGGATTCTTTGAGGCTTAGGATAGTAGCCATTTTCAGAAGGGATTTACTTTTACTTCTGCCAGGTCTTGGTCTGGGACAACTTGAATTTAAACTTGCCACTTCTTTTAGACCACCCAGATGGTGTGACTTTGGGTTGCAATTTTGCACCTCAGACTAGGCTGTGGATACCTGAGAGCCCCACTAACTTGGCATTGCCTTATGTGTGA